GAGTTTTGTTTTGGATGGGAATTCGCCTATTACGAATTTTCAAGGAGCGGTTCGGTGTAGCGACTCACTTAATCACTGCTTCGTAACTCCAATACTTAAAACAGTGTCGTCAAATAGTTCGGTGCGGGCAATCTCTTACCTGTAACCGTCAGCTGCCGTATCACTGTGAACCAGACCACTTTCTGCAGCAGAGTGAACCAGCCATCGAGCTGATCGATGTGGCTGTCTCACATTGCCGGGGAAGCTGCTGGTCGTAAATGTGAGGAGAAAACGAATCCCACTCTCGTTTCCTACAGCTAGTGACCATGGCAACATATCTTATCGCACGTTTTCATTTTATCGGACTATCTAACGAATAGATTTTACACATCGTAAAAATAGCTGCACCTAGCCTCACTCTTTTTCATTTGCTATTTCGTTTTAAAGAAAGCTCAGAAATGTCCAAATCAAATTTGTGTACGCATATTTGGCGTTTTGTACACAAATCTTGACATCTTTTATTTAAAGTCTTTGGTCCCACGAAGCAAACAAATGAAATATCAAAAATATCAATTTGATTAGTCTATAAACCTTAGCACCTTAAAATAGGTCACGACCCCATAGCGTTCCAAATCATCCTGCCAATCGTCGCGGTGTAACGAAACCAACTAAAAAAAGCCTGATAAAATAAGCTAGTTTGGTATTACTCACGTCCCATAACGAATGTAAGAAGACAGCGATTCTAGGTTTTTCGTTTCGAATCTATTTATCCGTAAACAAAGACAAATGCCGCTGACCTGCTATTTAAAATCCTCGAAAAAGAGCCCGGGCAGACATCAGACCGAGTGCTCGCTTGCCTGCCCGGGTGTCCGGTTTCGAGTTGCTGACACAGACTACGAATAACGCAAATCCTACGGCCTTACTCCTTCCAGGGTTCTCTCAAACCTCCCTTGCGTTTCCAAACACTTAAAATTCCAAACAATTGTCAGTCTTAAAGTGCATGTATTTTTGCTAAACTACAAGTGTAATTGACCGGATATTTCGCTTAGATGTGACCCAAATCGGCTGTCACTAGATGTTCAATTTCCTGACGGGATGTCGCCCACTAGCAATTCCTAGAGAAGGTCAAGGCTGATTAATACCACGACCCCAGAGCGTGAGACGTCCGATTTAATTAACACGTCACGTGTTGCGACCAGATCGCGACAGGTCTAAAGTACATAAATGTTATCATGTCTGTAGGATTTGAGATTTTCACGGCAGCGATTACGAAGATGGCGCCTTGTAGTATGGTGGACGTTTCGAAACGTTTCAGATGCCATTACTGCCTCTATGGAGGACATCTGAAAAGCCAGGAAAACTTCTACTGGACCACATGTCGCTACAACCCTGTAGACGACTATATTCATTATTATGTCTCCTGAACCGGATAAATCCAGTTCACATCCTCGCATCCTATTTCTTAAAAACCATATTAATATTATATTTTAACCTACGCCCAGGTCTCTTCCCTTCAGGTTGTCAGACCAACGCTTTAAATGCATTTCTCACAAATTCAAATACGACTAGCAACGACGTCCTAAATTTATTCTTCTAATTTAATTATAAACTTTAAACGGTCAATAAAGTTTGTGAAAGGGAAACGTAAAACCAATGCGACTATCACGAACCACAATCGCCCAGAAAAGTGGTTGCAAATTATTAGGTGGCACTGCCCTATTTTTTGGGAGACACTTCCACGGATACTGAGAGAACATTCCATTGTGGCTTATGTCCGAAACACGTATTTGTTACACCGTCTGAGAGAAACAGGAGAAAATTAATTTGTTAAATTGCGAGATGCCGCAACTTCTAATTCATGGGAAAGTAGAGGAGAGAGAGTTGTGTGATGTTATCTCACAGTTCCGCGGTCCGTTCCGGTTATGACCGTCCGTCATCTGCTACCTGATTCTTTCATGTAACTACGCGCTAACTTTTTTTTGCATGTGCTTTTTCCGAAAGCGACTTCGCCCCCCCCTCCCCTCCCCTCCCCTCAAACTAACGTTCTCTAAACTGTGGTGCGTGAGTTTAAGTTCATGCGATTTGAGATATCTCCTGAACCAAACAAACTTTCAGTTCATACACCAAAGTTAAAAGAACATTAAGTTCAAGGTTCGGTTTCGTTTATTATTAACAAATTTTACAAGTCCTTGTACTAATATGATCCCGGTAAACTGTTGTGTCCTAGGTCATTCCTACACTAATTGCATTGTTGCTTCTTAGGCCATACTTGCACTGATGCCCCACAATTTCTTCCACCAAGAACGAAGATTGGTTTCGCCTTAAAGTTCCATTCTTACGACAATGAGAATTGACTGTTGTGTCCCAGTACGTATTACATGATTTACGAACGAACGCATTTGGGCTCGTTCAGTTAGTTAACCAATAAAGTTAGTAATAATATAAAATATAATTTAACATAAATTTGACTGTTGTTCGAATTATCGGTTAGGTGTTGGCCTGTTCACCGAGCTAATGAGAAATATTCAGCTGTTCCATAATTTGGGAACCAGCGTTTTGTGGTCATCGCAAAACAATGGACCGTACCTAGAGCGGTGTTCGTTATTTAGTAAAAGTACAATTTAATAGTAATAAAAAAATAAGCACGCACATATGCCTGTCCTCAGAAAATTGAAGCGAAATTTATTAATTATTGTTTTTTCTTGTTCGTACTTTTTCACAGTCATTTCACTGTCCAGTCACCAGAACATGTTTCGGTCCATTGTAGCAATCATCAGCAGAAACGCCTTACAGTTAACGGACTCGAGGTCTAATTACCTTTACGGAAATCAACAAACGCATAACAACGTTACAGAAACTGACACGCGTTAGTGACGTAAACCCACGAGAAATGACGATATAATGTTCACTTGCCATTCCTTACACTTCAGATCTTAACGGTGATGAAATAAACCTCTATGGATAACCTTTCTAAATCTCAACTTACCAGTAAACGCATTTTAGAGAGGGTTGTTCGACAAATTGTTTTAGGATAACCCCTTTTTAGGTGACACTTATTGTGTCGTTATATAATAAATTAAAAACAGCTTTTAGACTCCATGAAGCACAGAAATTGAGCCGCTGGTAGTAACTCAGTTGGTCGAGAAATTTTCCACGACTGGACTCTACACATACACACTAGTTAAGATCCGCCAAGATCGGCCATACCTGCCTTTTCTGTTACTATCGATAATTTTACTTAAAACACATTTAAATATCGTACTTAAGTAACTACAGTTACCGGTTCAGACTAATGACAGTGGGAGAGACGAGCTAATGCCAGTATTTTCAAACAATATTTTGTAAACCATATGATGTTGCAGAGAGCCCCTATCGTATCGAACTATTGTGGACAAAAAAGTACCGGGTTCTTTCGTTATAATTTTCAACAATGACTAGTTTGCTAATAAGCTATCTGTTATCAGTAACGCTGAAACAATATGACGTTACATACGCTTACTATTTCATATTTCACACTAAATTGAAAATTTCTTCAATCTCACTGAAATTACACAATCGATATGCGCAATTAAAATACGAAAAAAATTCTTTCCGAATTTACTGACAGTCGTTTTCCACAAAGAAAACGAAATATATTCTTGTAACAAATGACAAATATAAAACTGTTAGACCTACTCCAATCCTGGGCCTGTCAGAAACACGCATTACGTACATAAAGCTTCATATAAAAACGGTAGTTATAACATACAGTTCACATATTTCGGTCACTTTGAATCACAGATTCAACAGCACGATCATGACAACTCAGTGTATACCACAAGTAGTACAGACATGCTCTTAATAAAAAATATAATTGATAAGAAAACTTACGATTCTTGGTTTTCGAAGCAAATTAACACTTAATCCCTAGCAGACGCTACGTAACTGGTTTCGTCATTTGATAGCGTGGCCTCCTTAGTTTCATGCGCACGCATCGGTCAATACCGCATTTTTACTTCGTCAAGAGTCGCGCTGTGTTCAAATAGTTCAATTCACACTGTTTAACAGATACAAAATATATATATATATATAGCCAGATTAAATAATAAGCCACTTCCAATTTGTACGAATTTCAATGAATATGAACATTTGTAATATATTTCAAGAATCGATTTTAGTGTTATTCTTTCAATACTGATAGTTTCTCTCGGTTTGTTGGTATTATCTGTGGTCCACAGGTATATAACCACACTTCTACTCCATCTGTTGTTACTTCCAATAACTTCAATGAGTTAATGATTAATGTGATTATGAACGTTAATATCAAAAATGCCTGAATGAGTGAATTTGAAGAAATTATAATGATTGTTTCTGATAGAAATTAAATCTTATGCATTCACCTTTCATCCTGTCTCTGAAGTTATCAGAAATCTTGATTCTGATAGCACCTTTGTCCTAAATTTGACAAACATTAACTGGAGACCACATAGTACCGAATTTAGTCAAACTCCACTAAGCAGTTTTCACTGATGAAATATGCATAACCTAATTACGTATTAATTTCATGCTCTTTGTTTGACTAGTGTCTAGCAACACAGACATTCATATACATATATAGCCATCATACTGACATTCCCTTGAGAGGAGACTGAAAATTACTAATTGAAATTAACACAATTACTTTACCTTATACACATGTATCACATACACATCAAATTGACTTACAGTGAAGAAAACACAAAGGTTAAAGGTAATAAAGGCAAAGTATAAATCATCATTTGAGTATGACCACAAATCCATCCCTTTTGATAAGACAACTATCGAGTATAATTACATTAATTTTCATTGCACACATAGTGGAAGGCATCATGAAGTGTGCCCAGTGGAATGTATAAGAAGCCTCGCTTAAACACATACTAGTCTGCATTGGATGCACACATAAATGGAACTTGTAATGCAACATAAAAACTGTCTGAAAAGGGGTGAAATTGTGTATTGTGGATTTGGTTTCACTATCTGTTGGCTAAAGAACAATATAAAAATTACAGTTTGTAAATTCAATTATATTTAATTTCACGTGTAATTATGGATGAAAAATATCATGGAAACTATGTCAAATACAGAGTATCTTCAAAAATTTATATGGAAGCATATTTCAGTTAAAGTTTATTCTTTATTTTTACTGTGATAACCAAGAGAAGGGTGCTTAGGTATAAAATTGTATCACTGATATAAATTATCTTTCCATACCAGGTAACTATTTTGACACATTATAAAGAAAATGCTAAATATACAAAAAAGCAGAAACCAGATAAATAAAATACCAAAGTATTTTTATAAACATGAGAATGTTAACATAAAATTGTAAAAACTTTGTAGTACAGTAAGGACCCTAAGACACGTAACAGGAAGAGTCAAATATTTGTTGCTAGATGACATATAAATGTACAATAACTGAAAAATTCAATGTGCTTTCTTTTGACTTCAGTCGAGATTTTACTGCAATGAATCAGATTTGTTAACTCTGACAAAGCCAAAGAACCCCCCCCCCCCAAAGCAGTATAAATGCAGTTTCTGAGAGCAGTGGTTTTAAATAAACACTGACCACAAGAACACAGCAGCCATATGAAAGAACTGCGAACAGTTTTATTTAATATAAGAATCACAGAAAATAAAACAGTTTGAACAATCTGGAAAGATGGATATTCTCATATCCCACAAATCTCTGCATACAGACCTACAGGAACCAGAGTCACAGGACATCCATGGATATGATGGAGACAGAAATTTAAAACTTTTATATCTATAAATATATAAATAATTATATTTATAGCCAGATCAGGATTTGAAGCTTCATCCATACACTGTTTATTTCTTGATTTGCTTAATTATGAATAATGTATTAGGAAGAACATATAAGAAGGAAGTGGCAGCAAGAAAAATGTCAGTACAGCCAATGATTCAACCCTAGGATGCCTTTGATTATGAAGCAAAGTCCTGATGACAACATGGTATTAGTTTAATCTATAAAAATGTCTTTCAGTGTCTGTGTTTGGGCCTTTATTCTGATCCTTACTTTATCTGATGTTAAATCTGAAATCTCCTCAGTATTTCTCATAAACCACATTTCCAAGAATACAAGTCAGGTATCTCCTTAACACTACACAAAATTCTGTCACCAATTCAAACTAGCCTGATATAAAATTAAAATTATTGGAAATTATAATACTGGCAAAACATAAGCCTTTGATATGTGTTCCCTGCAGTGAATTATGAGTTGTGGATTTTAAATACAATATCAGGCAAACATTAAATTTCACTGGAGCTGACAAGAACACAACACAGCTATACAGGCTCACAACAACATACATCACAGTAAAAATGTTTGTTTCTCAACATAATTTAACAAGGTTGTGCAATAAAAAGACATACATTGTCACAACATCCAGTCATCAATAAACAAGCTATAATATACAGTGCTTGAAATGATAATTAACTTGTCACTGAGGCGAATTAAAAATACAATAGCTCTTTTACCTCCACAATCTTCAGCTGAAAGCAGTAAATAAAATACTAACAGATAAATAAATAAAATACTAACAGATAAATAAATGATAAGACACTGAAAGTTTTGTCTAATTGTACTGTTAGGGCACCTTTCTACCCCCTCACTCAAATTTACTACAATTCAGGTGCCTTACACTCCCACCTAGTCCTGCATTTATACATTAGTTACATGTATATATTTTCATCCACATAATCTTTACCTGTGTTTCATGACATAAGACTTGTGATATATAGGTGCAAAGATTTAGTGTCAAGAAACAGTTCTGAATCATTTCAAGCACTGCAGGTGTCCAGAGACTAGCAAACATTAAGTGGAACATTTCACCAAATTTGACATTACAATACTATACTGCTTCAAAGAGTGTTTACAAAATTTGTAGAATTAAAATGTGTATCAAAATGCCATATAACCATATCCAAATCTTAAATACCTTATTAACACTTGTGCCTTCTTTTAGAGCAAAGAGGCATTTTACTTATAATAGTTCTAACATTACATAAATTTCATAACTTTATTTACAATATAAATTATGTTTGTAATAGAATATTGCTAACTAAACTATTACAACTGCACTGTATCACTAAAGAATACTTAAACATCACAGACACAGTCAATGCAACTGCCTCAAACCCCCACTATGTGCGTCAAGATGGGCAGGCTGCCTATATATCACATTAATGTCAAATGGAATGCTCTTATGTGTATAAATTTCTAGTCTGTTCACACAAATCGTGTGGAAGAAAATTGTTTTAAAAAATTTCTGTTCACCTTGTGATGTACAACGTACTTGTATCGCAAGCATTTCTCAACTGTGTAGACTAGCACTGATCCATTTGGCAATGATAACTAAATCCCTAAATCTTTTTCCATCTATGTTTTCCCCTGCAATAAGCATTAAAAATACTGGTCCCTTAAAGAACTTCTTAAGAGGATTATACTGCACATAACATCATCAGATTTTTTTCATCTTTTACAAATGGCCCTGAGCAATCATTAAAAAAAACATGTAACAACACACGCTACAACAACATATTAGTCCTCACATCTGAAGTCTTAAATGTCAAAAGACGACCAAGAAAAATAAGCAGGGCTCAAACTTTCTGCTCTAATGTATATGAAAAAGCAAACTGCAAATACACATTTCAGTGAAAAGGAAAATTCTGCATGGGTTTTGGATTCTACAGTAAAATATTCACATAGAACATATCACACAGAATAAAATATTAACAGTCAATAAAAAATATGCAGCATAATTAACCCAGTATTATGCAAGTAATTTTAATTGAAACATAATACTGCAACATTCCATATAATTTTATACAACACCACACTGAATGTTTTCTTTCCAAAGCATAAGAAAGAAAACAGCTTCATTAATATAAAATAATTTCATTAAAAATTCACATATGTAGAATGTCAGAGTATTTTGAGGGAATGGTCTACACTTTGAACTGAAATGTTGAGCCCTGCTATTAGTGTCAAAAGTTATATAAAAACAATGAACATTTTATATAAAAAACAAGGTTCACAAGTCATAATCAAAATGCATTTCATCACTAAGACAAACCCAATCCATTCTCCTGAAGATAACCATTCTTCTCCTCAACCGGTTTATCTCTGAAATTATTACCAGTAGCCAATTTTTCAGTTTTCCTGTGAAGAAAAGATCCCATGAAATTGGCATTCATATTACAAAAGCAAATGACACAAAACTGTAATAATTTAATAGGCGTTCAAATATTATCAAACTATTGGAAGCTCCTGAAATTTGTGTGACAAATACTTGTCTTTTATTTTATTTTTACAAGAACGGTTTGGGAAAAATACTGCAAGATAACAGGGCAAACAATCCAGAATTTTATTTGGAATTTGGCATTTTCTCAATGGTACACCACGTGAGAAAAGATTATGAGCAAACAGTTTGTTAAGGTGAAAAGAGTTTGAAGTTATTAGAGTAGTAGCAACCCAGGGACACTGGTTGAAAACGAAGAGGAGAAGTTTCCCCAGAATACTTTTCCAAGCAACTTGTTCAAGCACGCTACTCCAGAATATGGATAAAAAAACAAAGTTTCTTTAACAGTAATACAAGATAAAGTTTCTTCAAAAGCCACATGTAAATGCCATATTTTGAAAGTTTATTCGTATACATATTAAAACTAAGACTGAAGATGTCTGATCACTCTTACCAGTATTAATTTACTCCAGAGTTATTTAATGATGTCATACAAACTAAAGGCTGTGCAGCATGATTCTGTAATATGAAATCCAAAGGATTAAGGAGGTCTATTTGAAGGTACTATCCTAGCATATGCTTGAAATGACCAACAAAAATAATGCAAGGCCCCAGTTAGTCTATGCCCCAACCAAGATAATAAAACTGTTACCTTTCGGGTGATGGGCAGCAAACATCATTAAACGAGATACCACACATTTTGTCAACAGAAGGTAGCTCCAGCATTTCGTTGGCCCATAAGAGTGGATTATAACTTGGGGCCTCACCACCAAGCTCAGCTGGCAGGATGTCCTTTGCAATGTAATCATGCAAAGTGCTCAGATTGTTCCCATGAAGGAATATCTGATGACAAAACAAATGGAAGTCTCACAACATGACTACATTACATCAATGCTATTTGGCATGTGAAAACTTATGATGATGATGTTTCATAGAAAAGTACAGGTGTTATATCATGTCTAGTACAACCCTAAAGTGCAGAATACTTCAGAAGAAATTTGTTACGTAATATGCTTTTTCATGCACTTGGTATACCTTATCTTTGGTCTTCTCCTTCAGGAATGGCCGGATGACAGTGAGGGCTGCCTCCACATACCACGGCTGACTGATGAAATGAATCCCTTTAAACCGTGCAGGGAAACAATCCTGAAGACCCTCTATCATCAGTTTCAGGACACGTGGGTTCAGGCTGGAGGACTGTCTGAATGAAAACTCACTCCAATCCACCACCACAACAAAGCCATTCACCTGATTACGTGGCTTTTCAATTAGTCGCTCCAAAGTAAGCAACAGAGCGCGATAAATTACTTCAAGGGAGTATGCACAATGGTCCCAATTGGCTGTGAAAATCACCAGAACACAGCGCCCCTTCCTATGAATGACATGAGAAAGATATCTTGAAATATGCTAATATTTTAAAATAAATGGAGCTGTAATGTTTCATCAAAACTTACTCTAAAATGCCAAACATTTCATGTAGCTTATTCCAACTTAAGGGATCAAGGTCTGCATTAGGGAAAGCATACACATGTTTAACCAATTTTAATGTTTTAACCCTACCGATCCCTTTCTGGCAACACTCCAGGGAAACCATCATGTAGAGCTTGTTGTATCCCTATGTCCTGTGGAACAAAATTCTCAAACAGCTGTCTGTTCCTCTGCCGGTATGAATAGTAATTAGCCATCAATTCAAAACTTTCACGAACATTATTCTTCCTGGCATTAAGGAACCGCAAAATGAAGTTGTCATCATTTTTCTGAAATTCTGAAACAATTTCAACAAACTGTATCAGATCTATGTTGAATTCCCACGGGAACCTTATAGTATGAATTGATTTGAAGGGCATTTAATTATTCAATTATGCTGTATCAACTGCAAACGATATGCACATTTCAATGAGAAGAAAGGATGATTATAAATGACAAACTGGGAAGTGAAATGTGATGAGACCTAAATTAAGAGAGTAGCTAAAACATTCACCTGAGTGTACTGACAAAATATATTAAAAATCTTATACATGAAATTTGGCACCAATATTATTTGAACAGGCGAGTCTGTGAGATACTGTGATCCATATGTAAAGCTTACGATCTTCACTGTATAATTTCCCCCTGCAGTAATACGTTCAAAGATACAAAAATTACTGTTTCAGCTCAAATACTTTCATCTGTTATTACTTAATTCTATAAACATGTAGGAAAATGTTCAAGTCAAATCAGAACAGAAACTGGTAACAGATTTAGAAGAAGTAACTAACATTTACTTTTATTACTACTGATAATAACTAAAACAAAATTTTATGTATGATAAGAAGGAAATATATTCCAATCTGTATTAATATCATTCTGCAAAATATGAATATACCAGCCCAAGTACGACTGGAACTGCACTTCTCATCATTCTTAACTTGCAATATGAAAACTCACCTATTTCTGGTCTAGTAGGGATTAAGTTTTGAACTGCCTGGATGGTAAGTGATTTGTCTTGAATGCCATTTAATGATTCAGCCTTAGTGGGAGATGCATCAGACATGCCAATATGCCGACAGCTCCATTCAAATTCACAGTACTCTGCCATCATGAAGTCAATAATAGTATCACCTGGACAAACACATCAAATGGTCTAGTTCTTTTACTCCCAAACTTTAACTACATGTTTAAAAACATATAGTAAACTGAAATTCAAGTTAAACAACTGCAAAACAGTGGCATGTATATGACTATAAATCTGAGTTTTATTTACATCCTATAAGATTTGATAATGCAAATTTTGTACATTTTCCACTGCCTGAATTATATTTAAAGCATTTTGGGAGTTGGTCCTAACCCAATCATCTATCTGAATGTCATTACAATGACACTATATCATTTACATTTTCAGTATTGATGACAGCAGTTGGGTATGAACCTCAAACTTTGTCAATTTTTATTTTGTGAGATAATCAGAATATTACCAGGTCCTGTATTTGAAAGGTGTCAGATAAAAATCCAGTTTCATACAAACTTTCATGCAACAGAGTTCAAATAAAATAAAATAAAAATCCTTACTAGATTATATAATTTAGTTACCATATAAACTGATGTACAGGAAGTGTTATCAGTATGCAAATAGAAATGATTCACACTTGACATTCCCTGGGCTACAAACAAGCATGGATTTTATAAGCATACTTTTATTAAGCTCAACAAACAGTTTCAAAGAAACAAGTAAATGAAGTGTATCAGTTCATAACAAAAAGATTAAATAAAGTGTATTTTCTACTTGGATGTTTATTAACATTGTATCAACTATTAATTTTTTGCAGTACTCGCCAAAAATTGCAAAACATTTTTCGAAAGGGATTGAAAAGGAAGTAGTCCTGTTATTTTGTAACACTGCAGAAATATTTTGTTTTGTTGTATATTCGTCAACCCTATAAGGACGAAATAAATACACGGATTTTATATACTGAATAGCCTTGAATTCGAAAGATTACAAACAATATGCACCTAATACTTGTAATGTCACTGAAGGGTAAAGATAAAACATTCACTGTTTGCAAAGAACTCTTTCCGTTACCATACGGAACAAGGTACAATATATGGAAACATGAGAGGAAATTCCGTTGCAGAATTTCTTACATATTCAGATGTTTGCAAGCGAAACGATCAAAATGGAAATAACACCACTTCTTATACTTACAAACAAAATTGTATTTATGTAAATGTATTGTATCTTAACAAATCAACGTTCATTTGCAATTTTTAATATAATTTCAACACTTAAAGGAAACGGCATAGTTGATATGTACACAAAAATATTGAAAACTCAATGCTGACTACGGTACCCACGGAGCTTATATTCGAAATTGTGCAGTTCGAATTCCTGGTAGAGAAAGAGGTTTACGCTGAGTTTTTGCTAGTTTATCATCTGTGGCGAATACATTGTCATTGCATTTGAAATGGTAGATGATGGTTCATCATGGACGTTGTAGGTGTAATGGTTTTCAATAGACTTGCTTTCTAAATATAAAGGAACTATTGAAGGATTTTACATCTCAATTTCTTCGTGTACAAGATGGTGCGAAGTAGCGGGTATGTATGGGCTTGAATTCATAATCCAATTGTACATATTTTTTCTTTACAATGTGTTCGAAAATTCTGTGCTTTAAGGTTATGACATTGTTCTGATGCTATCATCGTCATGGTAAACAAGATATGTATTTTTTTCAGCCATCATCGCAAACGTTCTCGCAGCAAGTCTGCCAGTCCAGAAAGAAAGAGGAGTAGGCGGTCACGTAGTCGTGAAAGGTAACAATTTTCGTACGTGTAGTGTAAAGGTACCACATTTCTCTTCAATAATATTAGCTTTTATAATGCATAATTAGTGAGTTTCACATCTTATTAGAAAAAACAATATGATCATTGTGTTCTGAAGAGGTTTAGAGGATAGAAATAGATGCATAGGCAGAAGAATAATTCTTGAGGTTTCATGGATTTCAATAGAATGTTGAGACACCACCATGAAACAACACAGTTTCATGTTTCCTTGCATCAACCAGTCAACCATTGAAGGTCATCTTCATATCATGTAACACATAACCTCTTAATTTGATCAAATAATCTGTGAATTAATATTAAGTACTATTATGTTCTGTTTTGTAACAAACGAAGGGAACAGTTGTTCTGGCAGTTTATCCTGCTTTGTTTCTAGCCAGCAATTGCCTTCATTCTTCTTGCAAGTGAAATTGCTAATATTTTTGGTGTTTAACACTTTTTAATGTTTTTCAGAGTAAAACCTCGCTACAGGCGCAGCAGATCACGTGATCGAGAGCGAGACTTATCAGACAGGGATCGCCATCGTCGTTCTCATAGCAAAGATAGAAAACAGTCAGTATCATTGTAATGTTTCACCAGTAATGAGCATTGCCTTATATTTTGTGGTACGTTTGGATTAACTTGATACATGTCACTGGCAGAATTCTGAAATAGGACCTTTAATTTTAGAGTATATATATATATATATATAGTAACATTGGAAGTCCTGTCACTGCCCATACATGGAAGCGAAGGCCACCCTTGTGGCCTCCCGTTCTCTCCTTGTAGTTAAATATGAAAAACATGGTCCCAGCTTTCGCATAAATTCTTGTGATCTTCCATTTCCCAAAAGTTTGTTAAAAGTTGAAATGTTAACACATTGCAGTATAATTTTTCTCAGAGAAATGTGTTGAAATTACTATGTATTTTATTTATTGCCAGAGAAGTTGGTATCTTTAATATTCCTTTATTGTACAGTTATACCGTGTAAAGTAGAGGACCCAAGAAAGATTAAATTACTAGTATTGTTGTATTTCTGAAGTTTTCAATCTGCTGCAGGATTGACAGCAAGGAGAGGAGATCTGCTTCATCAAAATCAAAAAGCAAGTCATTGAAAGAAGGTTCAGGAGCAGATTCAAAAGAAAGAGATAAAAAGGATGCTAAAGGGGATGATAAAGCAGAAGATGAAGCATTTGATCCTACAAATCTTGATAAAGTAAGCCTTAGTTTTTGGATCCATATACTTTTGAATACTTATTTTCTAGGGGTATGTGAAAGAATTTAATCAGCAAACAACATCCATTGGCTTGTTTTAAAGAAAATCTGATAAATATTTTAACAATTTCATTGAGCTCTTATGTAAAATGTCAGTTGAAATTGCATGGCATGATCTGACACAATATTACATACTGTATTTAATAAGAATTTCCAGCGTAACAATTTCTTCAGACGAATACATAGACACTAAAACTAATAAACATGTTTCTTCATTATAGAACTAGCATGAAATTAAGCTATTAGAATATGGGTACTTTTTTCTGTTTATTGTAATTTGATTTAAGTCAGAACCACTTCACTTCTACTGCAAAGTATTTGTTTGACTTAAGAATCCCTAGAGTGATTGATGCATCTATAATTATTTCAGGAAGAAGAACAGAAGAGGCTTGAGCAAGAGATGCAGAAGAGACGAGAGAGAATAGAAAGGTGGAGAGCTGAGAGGAAGAAGAAAGAGCTTGAAGTTACAAAGAAAGAAATAAAGGGAAGCTTGTTAGGTTTGTATAATATATCTACTATAAAAATTTGTGATTAGTCGTTGTCTTCAAGAAATGACGTCATCAACAATGCCAACAGATAATTGTTTACTCGGCATTGTTGTGGAACACAATAATGCTGAGTAAACAAATACCGCTTCACAACAAAGAGATCAAAAACTATCAAGCCAGTCGCATTATCACTGCTCCAGCAGCACATCACATTCTTGAATATTGACTGACAGTTGGCCTAAAACATCAGAAAAGTGAAAGAAGACGTTATCAAGTATTTGAAGTACCAAACCCAACAACTGTAACAAGGTAAAGTGATACTCATTCGATATATTACGATTACGAAAACTATTATGATCGATTTTAAGATGAAGATTTGCAAGGGTGGGGCTGGACGTAGAAAGTTTACTGACCAAGAACAGTTGGCTTCTGAACAGCGACGTAAAGAAGTAAAATATCAGATAGAGACAGCGGGGTTAGTTTAGTGTGTTACTTAAGATTTTAAAACACAACCAACCCCCCCGAAGGGGTGGGGGTTGGTCAAGTGTTTTAATCCCCATTCGGGGGGAGTTTAGTTTCTTACTCAAGGTTGGTTGCGTTTAAAAAATTGACGCCCCCCGAGGAGCTCCGAAAGGAGCGCTCTGCTCTAGTA